GTTCGCTGTCATTCTTGCATCTCCTTCTTTGTCCCTCAAATATTTCACGATTTGGAAGACAAGGGAAGAGCTTCCAAAGAATGCTTCAAGATATTTGAGGGGACTGGATTAAGTTGGCTTCTGGCACCTGGTGAATCCTGGACACTCTGCCCGTGGTGAGATTCCTCATGATAGGGAGAGGAATGTCCTTCATGCCCAATATGTGGTTGCAAATTCCATCAGGTAACAGGTTGCTTACAAGTCGTCCAGTGTAATACAGTTCTTGTGGATCAATCCTATTGCTACCAGGGGCTTATTAAAGCATTGAACAGATGTATTTCCTGTTCTCTTTTTTCAATGTGCAGAAAATACAAAGAATTCTTTACACTTGTGCTGTCTAGTGAACTGAAAAGATCTTTTTCATGAGTTTTCCCTTTCTAGATATAACTGAGGAAGCATCATTTGCTTCCTGTGGAGGTATGCAGCAAAATTATGTCCTGGGATCTTTAGGTGTGTGTGAGAGAAACCCCTTGTGCCTCTTGTTTCTATGCTACAAACTAGGCAGCAACAAACATAATTTATCCCCAAATCACTTTAAGAGTAACTTCTCATATTGTTATGCCTTTAAAGGAACTCTGGGCTTGGCACATGTCTGAGGCTCTGCATATCTTTCACCCCAGGAACAATTTCTCCTTTGCAAAACTTTCTGGCTTGTTTTACATGCAAATGATCCCATAGGATGGAATGAGACCAAATGTTTCATTGGCCAAAACACGAGGTGATGAGTATAACTGGGACTTTATTTATTATGTGACTTGGCATTATGATATCTGAATTATCTATGCAGGCCTGTACAAGCCATATAAGAAAAGGAGCCTGTTAGCTGGATTCTGTGCCTAGAATTAATCATCCATATGTTATGTCCTCCTGCCCTCTCCACTCCTGTCCTCTCTTCTCCTCCCCTTCCCTCCCCTCATTTGTAATTCCTTTTAATACTGATTTTGGATCATGAAAAGTGAAAAATTCCTTTGTGTATGTATTTTCTTGTATTAACTCAGAAACCTGCATTCAACAGATTCTGCAGAAGTTTTATATTGGGAAATAATATATTCACAGGAATAATAATACCATATATTAGTTCTAAATAATAAAAAACCCCTCAATTCAATAAATTATTCAATTAAATCTTTTTTGTAAATGTAATTTTTGAACCTACTTTGTAAGTAATAATATAGTACACACTAAAACTGATATAAATATACTGGTAAAAACAGTTATAGTCCTATGAAAATGCCAGCTTTTTCTATTAATTCACGAACTGCGTATTAAAATGTAATGGAACTCTTAGGTTTACCAAATTAGAAAGGAAGCAACTGGGAAACTAGCCCATAGCAACTCAAACACAGATTATACTTCAGCCCTTGCAGACAGCCACAGCACTTGAGGCTGAAAGAAGTTTTCTAATGTACTGCACAATTTTAGTCCCAACAGATAGTCTAAAAATAAAACTGTTGAAATATCTTACTACCTCCCAGAAAGTCTTGCAGATATTCCAGTAGCAGGGCTCAGGGTAAAGACATCCAGGCCTGGTCTCTAACCCAGTGATGACAATGATATTTCACATACTACTTTGATTACACTTTATGCTTGATAGTATTGGGAAATCCCAATACAGTTCATCTGCATTTCTACTGGAAAAGAATTACCAATGCAGATAATTCTTGACATTTTGAGTCATATACTTAAAAGCAAATTGTCTTATTATTATTTGAAAATAATAATAGATTATTAGATGCTATTACATCTGATAAAGAGCGTCACAGTGTGTCCCCAGTCCTTAGTGAGATATATTAGAAAAATAGGCACGGTAATAACTTTAGAAACTAGAACAAGTCTGTCCCTACAAACATGATTTTCCTTAGGGTAGACTGGCAAACTTCACTGAAGTCACTGATCTTGCCAGTTAAAAAGATTTTCGCAGTAGACTGAATGTCTGTATGCCACTTTTTAAACTTATTATTTAAACCTTTCCCAAGCATTTTGCTCAGTTTACCCAGTACTTTTTCCACTTTCAAACTTTAACTGAAAGAGAAAGCTCTCCACACCAATTACATCATCTGGAAGCTGTCTTCTAAATTCAGCTTTTGCTGTTATGTTTCCCTGAAAAGGGTTGTCACCTACACTGTAAATCCTTTTTAAGCCAAATCACTAAGTTCACTGAATGCACATAACTCCAATTAACTGCAGCCTGCTGGCTCAAAAGCAATTTGGTCTTTCATTAATTACTCAGGTAAACACAAGAAAAAGCTCTTTTAGTTTGCCTGAATTCACAGAACAAACAACCTCCCCCACCCCATCTTTGATGATCCAAGACAATCTTGTCTTTTGATGCTTATCATTTGGTTGTTCAATAAAATGTAATTAAAAACAAAAGCAACATCCCCCTATCAACAAACCTGAGTTGCACCTAATTGTCAGGCTTTCAAACTGACTCTCACAGTGCAAATCCTATTGCACTTTAGGTCACAAGACTATTTGTTTAATCTCTTTCCTTGTGGACCGACTCTCCTGAGTCTCACAATGGGATTTCTGGAGGTGAAATTCAGTTACAGCCCTTGGAGGTTTTTTCCACTTGGCTTTGTATTGACCATATGCAAAACTGAAAAGATTATGCATGTTTTTATTCAAAGGCATAAATCAATTCTTCTAGAAATCCAGAACTATTTATGATGCCTAGCAATCCATTCGATAATCCATTCTGCCTTTAAAGATGGAAAAGAAAAAAGCTAAACTGTTGATTTTTATTTGATTTAAGGTTAATTCAAATTTCCCAAGTAAATCTAATATATTAGCCAATGGAAGACAACTCAACTATCCAGTATGATCATGCCAGACAGCCAATTTGAAGCTACCAAGGGCTTCAGAAACTAAACTGAGCAATGATATGGGCATGCAAGAAGTAATTATAAAAATTAATGGACTGTTATTCATCTAGGGTTTTTTTTAATGTTAATGAACAAATTAGTCTTGCATGTGAGTGTAGCACATCTGTTTGTGCCTACATACAGAGAAGCACATCCACATGTCACACAAGCTGGCTTGATTGCACTTTGCAGGACAAATTTGTATACATTTTATCACCGTTTCTGTAAACAGCATTTTCTTTCAGTATGTTCCATGCTCTCTGCCTGGGTCCTAATGGAAGTGTTAATTAGAAGCGCAGTAGGGAAACAATCTATGCTTCTAAACATGTCTTGTGTATGGAGTTTGAGTAATGAGAAAAAACAGGCCGGAACATTTGTATGAACAGATACTAATTACGGTTTCTGAGTCTAACATGGCTCACTGTTTTTGCCAAGAGCACAGCATAGAATATGAAAAAGACAGAATATAAGAGATTTTGAATAATCAAAAAAAGGGCCCAAAGTCCCAAATTTCCATAAAAGTAACTTTAGATGTAAACCCGAAGGTAGAATGATGGTTTGCTTTCATAAAACCTCATTTTGCAGTGTCTTTAATTTGTTTCATGTTTAGTATCTACTGAAGTCTCTGTTGGCTTACCATGATGAAATTCTTAGGTATCAGTGGTAGGATTTTACCTGATCATAATTCTTGTGTCTCAAATGTAGTTTGCATGTGCACCTTTCCACTGCCAAAAATCAGGCTCAGAAGTGCTCAGCAAAACCTTCTGCCCTGTCCTATATTCTTGGCATTAACTGAGAATCTATCAGGTTAGCAGGATAGAACTTTGTATGATTAGCTGGAGAACTTACACTGGCATGTTTATAGTGATGGATAATTAACTTTATAAACTAAAGTTTGCCTAAACATGATAGTAAATTTGACGAATCACAATTTCAGAATCCCAGAAGGGGGAGAAGAAAGGAACAATAAGGAAAAAGGGGAAATATTGGAAATATAAATGGCAAAAAGTAAAGGACAGTAGAAAACAAAAGGCACTAGCATTGCATGTGGTTTCTTATGGCTTGCAAAACTGTAGAATATATACCAAGGCTAATGAAGAGAATAGTTTGATTATTTACCACCTGGTTTTATTTCTCTTTTTCCACTAGACTCCATATATCACACACAGTTGGAGTGGAACAGTAAGTATATAATTTTCTGCTGCTTAAGTACACTATTTGCTATAAATTGAAAACTTTCAGCTTGCATTAACTTTCCATACAGCCAGACAAAGTGATCAGCAGTTCAGTCATCCAGGAGCCTGGTGAGTTACTTTGGAATGATATTTTCTATTTAGTTGTCTGGTGCCTGTAAACTGCTTTTATGGAGTGAGGTGATACAGGCTTTGCTCTCTCTCTTCAGAGGTGTAGTCAAATACATGATTTTTTACAACTAGAATACAGACTGCTTTTCATTTTTGTATTACTGTATTTTTGTAGGGTGCAGTTGGCACAATCAAAAAGCTCTATCTGAAAGTGAAATGAAATTTAAGAGGTAGATGCAGTGCATGTATATATATAAATGTACATACACATATATAATGCCAAAAGAATGTTAAATTTGTTATTAACTAACTCTACACAAAACTCTTTTCTGCTTGGGTATGGGGGTTGTGTTTTTCTAATCTGGTCACTGTCCCTTTAACTTGGAAATCAACGGTGAAATCATCAGCCAGATTTGGACCAAGTGAAAAATTTTCTAAGGCTCCATTAAGGACTTTGATATCTTGCTTGTAAGGGAACCAGATGAATATAAAACATAAAATATTGCATCTAGAATTCACAGTAGGTCTTTGAAGGGCAAGACACAAAATGAGATTAGGGTTCCAGGAATACTTGATTTCATAGCAATACTTCAAAGGGAGATATGAGTCCAGAAAATAAATTTAAAAATGGAGGGTAATGAAAGTGGTATTTCAGGGTTAAAGCCTGAAAAAACAGAGCAATCCTTGCTTGGAGCCACATCTAATGTCATTTCCTACTGAGGATACAGTTTGCCGTGTCGGGGCAATTCCCATAATGCTCCTGGTTTTTAAAGTGTTCTCTTTCATTTCCCAATGGTGATGAAAGATAGCCAGCAGATGACAGAAACAGGTGGACACTGTCAACAGTAGCTTCTAAAAATCAGCTATCAAGCTGTGATGTTTCAAGAAAAAAAGACAGGAGATGGGTGGATAAAAAAGGAAGATGAGAGGGTTAAATGGGAGAAAAGGTAAGTAAAGGAGGGAAAACACAGGAGACTAAATAGATCATAAAATGTTGAATGCCAGAGTAAGCAAAAAGAATTTATATCTTATCCATTGTTCAGTTGTTCTAGGTTCTGGCCTCCTGGTTTGGGGCTTTCACATCAATTTTTTTTTTTGGTGAATTATTAAAATGCAGAAACTCATCTCACCCCACTGTTGACGTTGATAAGGTAGAATGTTACACCAACACTAGTCACCTGTTTCCCCTGTAGTCAGTGAAAAGAAATGGGCATTTTTAAGGCATGATTTATCAGACCTATTTTAGGCACTTACATTAGCATGAGACAAATTGTGGCATGGAAGTTCTTGCATTTCTCCATGGCCTGGACCTTTCTCACATTACTGCTTCATGTGCAAGCAGCTACAATAGATCAGATTACTTAGCTTTTTTGTACCTTTGCGTTTAAACAGTTTGGTGCCTTGTGATAGTTGACTGTGAGTAGCTGAGGGTTTGGCTCACTGTCAATATTTCTCAAAGTTAGTAGAGTCCCAGGTTATTTTTTATTCTTCCATTTTCTGGGTAAAATCAAGCATTACAAATAGAGGTATGTTTCAGGTACCCTAAAACATTTTACACATTCTAAAGAAAACACTTTGGTTTCAACTTTGTCAACTCTTGAAAATATTTTTACAGCACCTCTAAAATAGATTTTTAAAAATCAATTATTTTTGAAATCGAGGAGACATTCTATTGCCTTTTGAAATGTTATTTTGTTCTTTGAAACTCTTTGGCAAATTTGACTTAATTTTGGCTGGGCTTAAAAAGCATTTTTGGCTACTTAAAGATTTGCAGAAAAATAAAATTGACCAGCTGTAATTAATCACGTTTGTTGTTTTTTTTTTTCCAAGCTCGATCCTCTTGTGCAAAAGTCTCAGTTGTAGGCCTGTGAAATGATTGCTTGCCCTTGCTGTGAGTCATGGCCAGGTGCTGTGCCCCAATTTGCCTGTGCAGTAGCTGGCAGATAGAATGGGTCTGGCTTCTGTATGGAGCCCAGAGCCCTGCTAGGTGTGCTAATTAGGGTGCTAATTGCAGTAGAGGACAGGAGAACCGTGAGGAGGACCTGGGTGTTCAGTGTTTGGGAGAACAGATTCAGTGAGTTAATCTGAAGCAGCAAAGAACTTCCACACCCAGCTGTCTCCTACACCTGCAGAACAGTTTGGATGGCTGCTGGGATATGCAACACCTGTAGCTGGTGCTGAGAAGAGAGACAGACTACAAATCCTTCCCTGAGAAGAGAGCAAAGGCTGTGTCGGCAGGAGCTCCGCTGAGAGGGGCGATGGCAGTGGGCTGGGAACAGCAGGGAGCTGTGGGACTGCAGTGGGAATTCCCGACTGTGGTCTGAGCACAGAGTAAGGAGGAAATGCTCCCGGTGTTAAACCAGGCAGAAAGAGGCTCCGATGAGTAGCCATCTGACATTGCTCAGACAAAGATAAATACAGGTAAGTGACTCATCTCCACTAGCAGCTGCCTGCTCTGAAAAACTAAGCAATCTTTATTTTCCACACACCAGCTTGACAACACAGGGTGTTTATTTTTATTTATTCTAATCCTAATGTTCTTTGAGAAGTCACCTCTGTTTCTGTTCATATCTTTGCAAGCAGGACTAAGATGTCTCCGCTCCCCCCCCCCATATTTTTGCCTATAACTGTGTCTGCCAGGTAAATACCATAATGACTCATTCTTTGTGTAAAGACTTGGGTTTCCCCAGTTTTGCTGGCACTCAAGTGTTATTAGCATAATGTATTTTTAGTGAACTCTGTCAGCAGAGCACTATATGGCTAATCAAGCACTCATTGGGGATAAATGGTAGACTTAATATTCTTATCAGGCTACTGGAGCTTAGAAGTTACCGACCCTTGTTCCACTTATATCAAAGCCACTTACAATGCTACCAGCTTGTAGCAAATTCATTTTCTGTTCATGTCTGATTGCCTATGATGGTGCCTAGAAACAGAAAACAGAAAATGGGAAATGGGAAGGAATGAGGGTCCCTGTTTCCCGAGGCCTTAATGCGATTGCAAGATATTGATCACATTGGATACTTCAACCTAATCCTCACAGTTTCACCGGCTTTGCAAAAAATGTTTCTCATAAGCACATTTTCAATTACATTTCAACCTTAGTGATTCAGAAACACTATTCTTTAAGAGGATCTATTTAATATCGGTAGTAGCTGCCAATTAAACTAGGGATTTTATTAATTTTCTCTAGTATTTAATCTTGTCTGCTGTCCCTGTGAAGGCTGGACAGTTTAGGTCAAGGTAATGCCATGGATCAAACCCAGGAGGAACTGCTTGCCTCTAGTGCTCTGCCTTTTCCCTAGGAAAGGTCAGGACTGATTGCAGGGGCAGTGATGTCTGCCCAAGCACTGAAACTCACCCTGTGGTGCCTGCTGTGTCCTGACAAATTTTCCCATTTCTTGCACAGTTTTCCCCAGTCCTGCCACAGTTTCCCCATTTCTGCTGCATCTCTGGCTGGGCTCCTTCAGCCCCTCCACATCAGTGTCACTGGCCACATCACATTTATTGATCTGTGTGTTGGGCAGTAGATTTGGCATGAGATTGAGTTTTCCTCTCAGAAACCACAGCCAAAGGCAAAGCAAATAATTCTTTTTGATACTAAAAGGAAGAATGATAAAGGAAGGAACTGTGCAGGCTGACACATACATAGAGATCCCTAAGAACAAGTGTCTCATTCTGTAATTTTGGTTTTATTTCTGGCTTGGTTTTTTTCCTGGTTTTTGTTTGGTTGGTTGGTTTTGGTGGGTTGGATTTTTGTTTTGGTTTTTTATTTTATTTTGTTTGATTTGGTTTCTATTATTTATTGGTATACAAAAGAAGCCATAGTTTTCCACTGTTCTGAGATTTTAGGCCAACTAAAATTTGTTCCGAATTCTTATGAGGTGGGTCCAGAAAATATGTTGCCTTTTTGGATGGGATGCAAATGTGGGCACATGAGTTTGTGTTCCTTCAGACATGTCCATGTGTATCCATGACTCAGTGTGTCTGTCCACATGTAAGCGCGTATCTTTGTGCGTTTTCCAAAACTTGGGCTCTGTCCTTGTTGCTACTTGTGCTGGATGAGAGCAGCTTACATTGAAATACTGATAATCTCTGCTAATGTCTTGCCACCTACCCTCCACAATATGATTTAGCTTTGTTCCAAAGTCACTCTTTTTAAGTTTGTCTATGCTTCAGTGAGAAGTAAAATTATATATTTTGCAGAGAAAAAGGTTCTAGAAGCAAATATTTCAAAATGTGCCGTGATGAGAATTTTTTCATGGGGCATTTCTAAAATCAGCTAATTGGTCACCAGGTGACTTAAGGTAGTTAACACAACAACCTGCTTAGAGGCTAGAGGACACTACACACATTTCTGCTGCAGACTTTGGATGCTTCTGCTTTGCCCTAAGCAAATCTGATATTACAAGACTGGCAAATTTTCAAATATTGATTGTGTTGCTGGTGAATGTAAGTTTGACTCTCCTACAGTAAAGTCATTCCTTTGAAGGATGGAAGAAGCACAGCAGTTATTGTCCTGTTTATCCAGGGCAAACAGCTTTTATCCAGCATTATTGGCTGCCTCTAGTTATACAGTAATCAAATAAATGTCCTAGTGATCTGAAGGTAAAGATACTTTAGGAGAAGTCTTAAAGGTTTCTGAGATTAAATAAGGATTAAAGAGACAAAATTATATAGTTATAAAGTGTTCTGTCTCAGAGTTACTACTTCATCTGATCTTTGTCTTGGTTTATGTAAGTGAAACAATTTCTAGATGGTTTTCAATCTGATCTTATCTTGGAAGTGAACTAAACTATATGAAGCTCAGTTTAAATGAATATTTTAAGTTATCAGTGAGTACTTCAAGTTTAATGTGATTTATCAAAGCCACAGTAAATGTATTTCATTTCTTTAGATCACTCTTTTTGAGTGATCTCAGCCAGACAAATAAGCAAAACTATTCCAAAGTACTCTGAACAGGATAAGCAAATTACAGATTCAGTTACTTTGAAATAACCATGTGCATGCAACTATCCCAAACAAATAAGTAAGATAACTAACTCCTCACATTTGCTGTAGGGTAAACATTTACCAACTGAAAACTTGAGGCATTTCAGTGGAGTATCAAACACACCGTGACTGCCTGGTCTAGTTTACTGCACAGTAACTAAGGTCTCTAGTTTTACACTGACACCTCAAGCACCACTCAGGAGTCAACGAATATCATAAACTTTTCACTTCTCAGAAAACTTCACTTTTTGTTTTAACATGCACTGGGTTTGCAAGTACTGCAGTCAGTATAAAATGTCATGTTTTGATACAAGGAATGAATTGATCCCTAACCTTCCCCTTCCCTAACCTTCCCCTTCCCTAACCTTCCCC